TGATTCCTCAATCCGAGCCGTTGCCCATTACTCCACAGGGCCTCCCACCTTTGTATGTACGCATGTATATTCTAATTCAATGAGAGTATTTCTAAAAAAATGTAATAAAAAAAGTAATTCTGTTTGTCATCGCATAATTTCCAAGAAGTTTAATAAGATTTTACTAGTTTAACCTAAGACAATTTCACGCTTTTCCTAATTTAATATTCTCTGATGACTCTTAAGTTAATGACTGAGTAAGCTCATAGCGATTTCTCTGACACTAAAATATCCGTAGACATTCCACTATCGCATCGTTAAATATTTGAGCTTAACAACTTGAATAAAGTATTGCTATAACAATCATAAATACGAATGATGGTTGTTATTTTAAGAAGAAAGGAGGTACAAATGAAAAGATATTAAATTGAGAACTTTTCTATTTCATTGAAACAGACGTTAAATACTTCATTATACTTTTCATTCTTTCTTTCTTTCATTCATTCATTTTCTCACTAAAACCAAGTAGTGTCTTTTCCCCTCTTTCCACGCACCAAAACGGAATAGTCCATTATTCATGAGGTATTGACAGGGCGTAACGGTCGTGCGAACTAACGAAAGAAGAGACAAGCACAGTTATAATAGGATAATCATGTTTAATTTACGGTGTAAAAAAATTAACTCTATTTTTATGTCTCCAATTTTATGATTTTCTGGCTCATCCCAGGGTAGAGATTGTTCAGACTGAGAGGAATGCATCTTTCTCTTCTTATTTCAACCTCATTTAAATTGTGTATCTTATCATATGTGCGCGTGTACGTATGTGAACATTAAATTGCAGAAAAACGTGTAAGTCACTCTCGCACAAGACAAACATACGCTTCATAGAGAGTATATGGCAGACAGAGGGTCAGTTCTTCTTTTATTAGTTTGAGTCATAAGTAATTTCCGTTTTGGGGAACCAGTTGTAATGACTAATGTATCATGAAGAAATGGGGAGGGGTTCATCTTATCGAGTCACTACACCACACCCATCCAGTGTTATACACAGAGACTTGCTTGGGGTGTTAAGGTTTCAAGATCGATAAGTGTATATAGATCTTCAAGATTGGGGCAAACTAGAAGATGTTTCATAGTTTGTAAATGCCCGCATTGGCAGTTGAGATCAACATCGGTGGCATATCCCAATTTCTGAAGGGTGACTCTACAGCTACCTACAGCTGTTCGGAGGTGATTCAGGCTGGACCAGAAGGGCTATGCGTCACTGGAGTCAGGGAGAGGGATTCTGTAGGACTAAGAGACAGCCTGTGTTCTACGTTGTTAAGGCGGCTGCGCAACGGGTACAGACGCTGACTAGGAGCTGTGTCTTGACATAAGCCTCTTTGTTTTGTTACTGGTTCACAGCCGTGGAGTGGGTGATGAGGGTCAATTTCCTACTTCAACTTTGGAGTGGACTGTCCTTTTTATGTAAGGGTGGTAATGCCACTAAGCAAGAAAAGGTCATCTAATTTGGTTGGCTTGACACCACCAGTGATCGATCTGCAAGAGATGTTTAAGGCAGGGTCGATGTTTTTTCGTGTGATGATCTGTTCCACACTGGTGAGGCATATTCTGTTGTAGAGTAGCAATGGGCTAGGGCTGTGGTGCAGTTTGTACCAACTTGGTCACGCCATTTAATATTAGCCAGCTTTTTTAGGATGTGGTTTCTTGATTCGAACTTGGCTTTAGTCCTTGTAATATGGTCGTTGTATGTAAGAGACCAGTCCCTTACAAGGCAACAGGGGTGATTCAACAACATAAGATACGCAACTGTGATTGTGTTCATGGCAAGCTCAGAAGGAAAACAGAAATTAAATTGAGACAAACGAGTAAAGGAAAGCAAGAAGAAAAGACTATTAAATATAAGCGGTCATAAGTCATATTTGCCAGTAAATAGTTGTGCATGTTGGGAATTATGCATTTGGGGACATTAAAATCATGCAGCAAGAAAAATGTAACTATCTGAATATTATAACAGATTATCTAAAATATAACAGAAATCTGAAGATGTATAGATCTGACCAAAGATGACTTCCAGAAACTAAGTAAAGAATTAAGAATTAGGAAACTTTTATTAGAAACAGCGTCCTGGGTATGACGATAAACTACATCCGGCAGCAAAGCCTCTGCTCGGGAGGTTTAGAGGGGTTTGAAACCACCTCTTAATTGCTGTTGTTCATAGGTCCACCCTGACACAGAGAGGTAGCACCTGTTAGGTTCCCAACTATGTGCAAATAGTTAACCCCACAAATACGGTTCAAAACACTATGAAAGTATAAAAAATACATTTTATAGTAAAAATACCAGCAATATATTTTCATAGTAAAAAACTACCAGCAATACATTTCTGAAAGAAGAAATTACCAGCAATAAATAAAAAAAAATTACCAGGGATACATTTTTGAAAGACGAAATTACAAGTAATAAATTTAAAAAATTACCAGCAATACATTTCTGAAAGAATAAATTACCAGCAATAAATTTAAAAAAATACCAGGGATACATTTTTGAAAGACGAAATTACAAGTAATAAATTTAAAAAATTACCAGCAATACATTTCTGAAAGAAGAAATTACCAGAAATACATTTTTCTAAAAGGAATTACTAATGCTCCCAAGAAAATTAAGTTTCGGCGTTAAATGACCCACAAGGTGTTGATATGTCGCTAAACAAAAAAAAAAAAAGAAGAAAAAATAGTAATTATAGTTCATTAGAAACAAAGAAAAGAGTGCTAAACTACTACGTAATATTTAATCTCCATCATGACAGTGACTGTTGGACATTGTCTTCACAGATGAGAAAGAGACTTGAAGCGACGGAGATGTAGTTATTATACACGCGAATATTGAAAAAATTATGAACAACACATAAAAGTAAAGAATAATTACAAGGAAACATACTTACAAGCAGACAAAGAGAAATATAGTTCCCAGAAGAATTAATGAGGAAAGACGGTCTAGAGAATCTATCACTCACAGGACATATCGAAGGCAAAAAAGAAGCAAGTGTAAACACACGGGTATGCATCTTAACGAGTTTAAGTGATTAAATGGCAGATCAAGAAAAAAGATGAACGGTAAAAAGTGAAAACATTACTTAGAGTAGTAAAATCTGGAAGTTGTGGAGAACCATGATTGTCCACGTCCTGAAGAATAAAAGTAACAGCAACAGACCAATATTTCCCGGACAAATCATTTTCTTTTTTGAAGAAAGTTGCGAATGTATGTCGTAAGTGCGGGGAGAATGTTCACAATAGCATATATATTTCATGGCTACGTGTCATTCATTTCTTGGTCGGGCCGAGGATTTTTCAGCACCCTAGGTCTATTAGACTGTATTATGCAAGTCAAATTTTAAACCTTAGAAGTTGGTCAACAGAACCCCATACGATAACCTGGTCATATAAATATACCAGAAAAATACACCAATGATTAACATCAGTTTTTAAAAATCTTATTGAACCTGTCTATATTTCTGTGATGAGGTATTGTAACTTTTCACTATTTACATTGTCCGGACTGTGTCCTCATCTTTATTGCTATATTCACGACGTTTCAGCCGTTGTTCGCTCCAGCCATCTTCAGGTGACATTAGTTAGAATTTCGAACAAGACCCTTAATTTAGTCGACATGGGTAGAGTGTTCTAATTCCACGTGCTATGCCGTTGGCTATCTCACTTTTAGTTAATTCACCTTGGTAACTCAACTCTCCAAGGTTTTGGATCTCTCTGTTTTGGCCAAGTATTAAACTCACAGTTCTTTGGGTCAAATCACCTTTAGGATCAATTAATCAACGCTTTTATCCACTGGGCCTTGAGAACATCAGTGAATGAATTTTGGCAACTTGTAAACCTAATGTCACAGTAGCTACTTTCACCAAAGCTCATATTACAGTTCTTTGCTATTGTTGTTTGTCCTCTTGCCCTCTGTATTACTGGTTTCCATATTCACGTGTATGCTTGGATAGTTTAGGAGATTTTTGTAACATAGCATATGCACTGATTCCTTGAGTTTTCGTATTTTCCAATGATGTGCTCTATTATTTCACCTTCATCCAAAAGAGGGCGGTGATCTACCTTTTCCCTTCATATATGATCAGCCCTACCTGACTTTTCTATTAGATTCTCTCTAGTTTCGTCGTGAATATCGTAATAAAGACGAGGTCAGCAGTTCGAACAATGTAAATAATATAAGAAAGTCTTATTGAATTTACAATATTTGCTATAAAAAAGGGAAGAGGAAATTGGACAAAAGAAAATATTGTCACAAAAATTGTCAAAAAGAAAAGAAAATAAGACACATTTGACCGGTTTTCGATCCTGTCACAATAATTGTCAAAAAGAAAAGAAAATAAGACACATTTGACCGGTTTTCGATCCTGTCACAATAATTGTCAAAAAGAAAAGAAAATAAGACACATTTGACCGGTTTTCGATATTGTCACAATAATTTTCAAAAAGAAAAGAAAATAAGACACATTTGACCGGTTTTCGATCCTGTCACAATAATTGTCAAAAAGAAAAGAAAATGAGACACATTTGACCGGTTTTCGATCCTGTCACAATAATTGTCAAAAAGAAAAGAAAGTAAGACACATTTGACCGGTTTTCGATCCTATCACAATAATTGTCAAAAAGAAAAAAAAATAAGACACATTTGACCGGTTTTCGATCCTGTCACAATAATTGTCAAAAGAAAAGAAAATAAGACAAATTTGACCGGTTTTTGATCCTGTCACGATAATTGTCAAAAAGAAAAGAAAATGAGACACATTTGACCGGATTTCGATCCTGTCACAATAATTGTCAAAAAGAAAAGAAAATGAGACACATTTGACCGGTTTTCGATCCTGTCACAATAATTGTCAAAAAGAAAAGAAAATGAGACACATTTGACCGGTTTTCGATCCTGTCACAATAATTGTCAAAAAGAAAAGAAAATAAGACACATTTGACCGGTTTTCGATCCTGTCACAATAATTGTCAAAAGAAAAGAAAGTAAGACACATTTGACCGGTTTTCGATCCTATCACAATAATTGTCAAAAGAAAAGAAAATAAGACACATTTGACCGGTTTTCGATCCTGTCACAATAATTGTTAAAAAAGAAAAGAAAATAAGACAAATTTGACCGGTTTTGATCCTGTCACGATAATTGTCAAAAGAAAAGAAAATGAGACACATTTGACCGATTTCGATCCTGTCACAATAATTGTCAAAAGAAAAGAAAATGAGACACATTTGACCGGTTTTCGATCCTGTCACAATAATTGTCAAAAAGAAAAGAAAATGAGACACATTTGACCGGTTTTCGATCCTGTCACAATAATTGTCAAAAAGAAAAGAAAATGAGACACATTTGACCGGTTTTCGATCCTGTCACAATAATTGTCAAAAAGAAAAGAAAATAAGACACATTTGACCGGTTTTCGTTCCTGTTTCGTTAATAATCGGCAATACGCATCGGCCGGCCATGAGAACATCTTATCTATATTCAGTCGACCCCTTTCTGAAAGTCCTTGAAACAATTTTTATTAAATCAAGACAACTTTCTTTGTGTAAGCAATAGGAATAGTTGTTGGGTATCTTAAAATTCTTTGTGTAACGTTTTCTCTCGAATCAGCAAGCGTTTGGTTCGTTGTTTGTGTTTTTATTTTGTTAGGGATTTATATATCTATGTGCGTTGAACTTCTCAGAATAATTCTGGAGATAAGACAAATTGGATAAAAAAGGATTGGCGCGATGGCGTCTCGATTAAGGAACGAACATCTCGAAACGGAGTGGCTCTTGCAGAGTGTCTTACTGGCGATGGTGCTTGGTAATGCTATCTTCACCATTGCGGCTGGCAGAGGGTAGCAAAAAAATTGTTTATAGTTAAAAAAAAAAATGTTTTTCAAATTCAAAATTTTTAAATAGACGCTCCTGTGTAAGCCTTTTTCAGGATTTTTTTTTTTTTACTAAGAGTTTGCTTTTGTTTTCCATGTTGACATTACCGTTAAATTTCTGTAGATAAGACAAATTGGATAAAAAAGACAATTGGAAAATAGTTCTTAGTCCTTGCCGACGCGTTTTGACATTCGACTTTATCAAGGCAAGTGATGATAAATAAAAACGAAAAAAAAAGTTAGCAATATCCAGAAAGAGGCTTAGACAGCAATGTCTTTTTAAAATCTTTTGAATTTGATGTAACTATACAACATTTAGCATTTATTTATAATCACTTGCCTTGATAAATCCGAATGACGAAACCTGTCGGCAAGGACTAAGAACTATTTTTCAATTTTGTTTTTTTTTTTATCCATATCTATGTGTGTGTTTGTAGCATGAATAATAGTATCTTCAACAAGAAGGAAAATGGTGAGACAATGTGTGTACAGGTATATATAAGAAATAGTTGTATGTATGTATATACATGTACAAGAATGCATAAAAATGGCTGTACAATGTGTACATGCGCGTGTATATGTGTGAGTATTCCTATGTATGCATATATGTGTTTCTGTGCACAGATATATATGAGTGGGCATGTTTATGCCTACATATATATATATATATATGTACAAGTATACAAAATAAGGCTCTAATATATGTACATGCATTGCGTATGTATGTACACATATATATAGGCATGTATATATAATAAGAAACTTTCTAGTTTCGGTGGACTGATTTTAAATCCAGCAACACAAAATGCCTATGATATAAATATAATAAACTGGTAGATAGACACTCTCTTGAGTTTGAACTTTGAAAGTGATAAGGTAATCTAATTTCATTTGATTTATCATCACTACTTATCCTCAAGGATGAGGCACGGTGGAGTAATGTATAGCGGCTCGAATTGAGGAATCGGAGAGCTGAGTTCGAATTCCAGTCGAATCCATTACATTCACTGATAATACCCTACGGATATGTATGAATCCTTTTCTTCTCCCCTCAGCCTCGGATGGCAACTGGTCTACCGGTGAAAGAAATGACAACCAACTTCGAGAAGAAAAAGACATTCATGTACTAAAAGTTACACGATCACCTAAGCGTGTATCATGCATGGCATATAATTGACTGAATTATCCTCAGAGATCCTCAGGCATTTTTGTCTTTTTTTCATTCTAAACTGCAGAAGCCAAACAGAACAGACGCTTTGGCGAAATTAATAGTTAATAATTTTTACATTTTGTTTCATTATCTTCATTCATATATATATATATATATATATATATATATATATATATATAGAGAGAGAGAGAGAGAGAGAGAGATACCCAAGTATATGATTGGTGTATATGGAATGAATTCCAATAACCAACAAATACTATTCTTAAAAGAGTGCTCAATACAAAGTAGAGCAGATATAATTATTTATTTTAAAAAATTATATCATAAATATGTTATAAAATCACTACAAAATCATGATTTTGTTACATTCAACATCACTTGATGTCATTCAACATCACAAGTGATGATGTTACATTCAAATGGCTAT